TGCATAAGTAACGTTTTTAGAGATCTATATAATGGTTATGGATGTTTTAATGTTTCTCAACGGAGAAAGAATAGGATTTGTGCCGGACTTTCTGGGTTATGTACGTTCACGGTTGTTTCTTAGTACAAATAAAAAGAATAATAAAGATGATGTCAGTTGTTTAAATAAAGGATCTGTAGTAGCACATCATTTAGGACATGAATGGATTTTTCTGGACATTAGGGAAGTAATTGGAAATTTTTGCGAAAAGGGAAACCTGGTAAATATCTGATGCTTCCAGTAAAGTTTTCATATGGATACTATTACTTAAGATATAGCTTTTATGTAATTTCTTTTAGTTCTTACGTTTCTTGTTAGATCTGGTGAGAAACAGAGAAGTGAATATGAACGTGATTGTTTGAAATCATGGCCGAAATTTTCCGATCTGGAACGCTGCTTCCATTTTCGTATGGTTTTTCTGTCGGGATCAGTTCGGAAGGTTCATCTTGAACTATCTGAATCTGAATATTTTATATCTTTCTTTAAAAAGTTTTTCCATTTTGCGTAACAATACCTACACTTACCATTGGTTTTCACATAAATAATTTTCAATTCTCTATGTTGGAAAACGTTTACCTTGCCTTAACTCTTCTGCGTATTCCTTAGCACTTAAACATATACGAATAAAAGAAAAACGTGATAAAACGACAAAAAAGAACTCAAATTTTTAATAATTGAACTTCAGGCTACCATTATTATTCTAAATCGATTTTCAACATATTAATATAACCCTACTCAATACTATGGCAGTTTTTAATGTTTTCGTATGTCTTATTAACTTTGAAAAAAAATCGTTTCTAAATCTGCATATCATTACCTCCTTTTTTGATATTATTTTGTGTAAGTCAGATCGAGAACAATTTTTTTGGTTAGATAAATGCTAACCCTAATTGATGACATACGCACTACAATGAAAAAAGTATACTCATTTATATAAAAAATTTTATTCATCAACGCAGTTATATTAATTTAATGTTTCTATTAGAACATCTGCCTCGAAAAACAACATTTTAATCATACATAAATAAAAATAATCAACTCGTTTCCTTTGTCAAAATTCATTTCGAAGTAGATAATATCACCTATGAATAGATTGGAATAACACAGCACAATAGAAATGTTAAAAGTTTAAGCAGGATGCGGAAGCATATTATCTTGGTCAACATTTTAATACAATTAAAGTGAAAAACACAATGAAAGCCAGGATTTTTTGAAGGATATGCATAATTTTTGAGAGAAAAACATTCAAATAAGTTCTTTGTCCTCCCTATTGGAAAATCGAGACATAATGGTATATCCTCCGAAATTTCGGAATGGTATAGATATATGAGAAGCCTTTAATTTAAAGCTTGGTGATTCCAAAAAGGAAGCGAGAACCGAATCGTAACTCGATTTTTTAAAATCCTCTGAACCGGAAAGTTAAAAAATATGAACTGGTATCATATGCGTTTTATTATCATGAAATGACAGTTTCGGGAATCATTTTACCATAATATACTCAGTTACAAGATGGTGATATAGACAGAACATCTTCTGCTTTCGTTCATTTTGCAAGGTTAGTAGTAGATTCTTCGTCATCTTTTTCACCAACTAATTTACATCACATAATACAGGATTCATTAATCTTTTCAGCCGCAATAATTGTGTTTTGGATAAGCACGAAAAAAAGTGTGTTGTTTGTTTTTAATCAGTCTTATCGGAATCTAGTGTATATATTAGAACACTCGAGAAAATTAAGAAGTCCTCTACAGAAGGAACCACATGTCTTATCTAAAATGACTCTCAAACGATATTCATTCTCTGAAAAAGTATCAAAATGCAAAATAATTTTGTCCTTTGTATATATATATATATATACGGGATAACTTGTACGAGTGAAAGCATTAAGATATATGAAGAAGATGTAATTCTACTTTGTGATAATGATAACAAAATTAATATCAATGATTTGTTTTAAAAATGTATTTATAGTAATATATGAAATTACATTGTAACCGATTCGAAAGAAGAAAATAACTATTTTTGGTAACAAGATGAGTTAATCATATAAGACAATATCATTAAGATATAATAATGGTTCCACCTAAGTTTTTTCGGAACCGACCGTAGAGCCATTTTTTAGTCTGACCAACAAGAACTATCACTGAGACATGGCTTTTAACTTATAAACAATTTATTTTGGACCCTTTTCTCTGTTCTAAAAATAGCCTTCGAATTCTAGTTTTTATTTCCAAATAAAAAGTGGTTTACGAATAAATCTTTTCATTTGTCATATATCCATTCAAAACGACAAAAGTATTCACTTCAAGTCGAGTATGTAGTCAAAAATCTTTTCCATGATTTAACTACAGAGATACTTCGAGAGCTGAAAAAAGCAAAAGACATTGATAAATTTTAGAAAACTATCCTAAAAGTTTAAGAATACTCAGGTATTTTCACGAATTTTAACAATTTGTATAAATTAGTCGAAGAATAATTCCAAAACGTTCGAACAAAATCTTATTTCACTTGACAGGAAAAATTTGTGCTCTGTGTTACCATCGAAAAGTCCCGCTGTTCGGTCGGTGGAATAGGTGATTCTTTTGATCTTCTATGGAAACGTGCCTACTAGATTAAATATTTCTTATTAACATTAACTAATATGTGTTTTTTTCGCGCAGTAATGCTTCTGTTAGCTTTTAGCAGATTGAATCCTTGTGGTCAACATTGTGGAAAACAATGAAAATCTTCAATTTTTATTTTAATACTTAATGTTACGTTCAACTGAGTAGAAACTGTTTGTAGTTGACAATGAGTTTCCACTTGGCGTTTATATCTGTTTCATACGACTGAAATTGACTTTTCTTATATCGATGCGAATGAATATATCGCAGCTAACATGAGACTTTAGTTGGGTTTGGAATGCACGAAAAACAGGAAAGACAAAAATAGAATTGAATGTAAGAAAATATCTATTGTTTTCTCGCTCGGAAAATTGTATTTAGAGTAAG